CCTTGCGGAAGTCCAGGTACTCCTGGGGACAGCCCCAGCCGGGGGTTTTGGGGTGGGGGCAAGCGCGACCCAGGCCAGGGAAGGCAGGCAGAGGTGAGGGGCAGAGCTTGGGCAGCTCGCCCCAATCCTGGCAGTACCTTATTCTGCTTGAGCTTGTTCATGCAGTCCATGAGGGCCGGGTACCCGCCCGAGAAGCGCCAGAGGTGCACTGGAAGGGGAGCACATGGCTGGGGAGGGGGGGCAGCACCCCAATAGCCCACCCGGCAGCTCCCATGCCTCTCCCCCTATGTGACAGTCAGCCCCCAGACAGTCTTTGCCTTTCCTCTCAGTCCCTCCAGCAGCGGAGGCACTGGGAGCTGCTGCCTGCCTGCCCTCACCTGCCTGGTCCTGCTCGCCGTACCATGTGTTCCAGTTCCCCACCAGGTCGCAGGGGTAGTCAGCATCTGAGTGGAGCTTGGGGAGCACCTCCTCTCTGCAGGACCACAAGGATGGTGGCTGGGGGGGTGGGCAGCCACCCCAAAATACTCACGAGACCCCTGTTTGCCCTCCCCAGCCCAGCATGAGGGGCCTGGGCATGGAAGGTTCTGCCCTAATGGGACCTGGCGCAGCCCTGAGGGGTGCACCCGTTTCACAGGGAGGGAAACTGAGGCAAGGAGCAGTGGTACGGACCCACCCGGGGTCTCAAGGAGCTCTGCATGAACCCTCCTACCCCCTTGCTCCAAAGCAGCACCCCACCAGGATGCTGGGCAGCCCCCCCGACGCGTGGCGGGGCTCACGTCAGGCTGTTGTAGGCATCCAGGCACTCCGGCTTCACATTGTGAACTGCAGGGAGAGGAGAGAGGGGCTGCCAGGGCAGGAGCTGAGGCCCCGTGGGGGGAGCAGGGCCCCAGGCAGAGCAGCTGCAGGGGTCCCCACAGGTGAGGAGGGGACAGCACAGCAGGGTGCACCCCATCTGTGCTCACCCCCAGCCCCTTCCTCCCTGTGGGGCCACTCACACTGAATCTTATAGAGGTTGCTGGTCTCCTTCTTGGAGAGAAGGTTGGAATGGGCGTCCTTGCGGGGGTCCACCTTGTGCACGAAGAGGGATCGGAACCAGCTGCCCTCGGCATCCCTTGAGTACCGCCTGCGAGACAGCAGGTCAGTGGGGGGGAGCACCCACCGACATCCCCTCGCTGGAAAGAACATGGGCAACTCTGCCTGGAAACAGCCAGCTGGAGAGCAAAACGGGAACCAAAGGCCATGCTGCCGGTCCTGCCTTCCT